ATATAATTGCAATTTTAACCTGCTTTAAGATTTAATAGCATTTTATAATTATGAAACTGGTTCTAATATTTTTTAATTAATATATATATACTATTAACGGATCCAGTGCTTTTAATTTTCTTTCAAAATCATTTTTTACTATTTTTATAAAATAAAAAGAGAAAACTGGCTATTTAAATTTTGGCCTCAGTTCGTTTCAATTGTAGCCCCATTACATTTCGATTTTAGCCTAAAATTGACCCAATTTCAAACTTGAATTCGGACCAGCCCAATTCCTTTTGACCCAACCCCTAACCCAACTCAAACGACCCAACCAGGTTCGCCATCTACCTTCTTAAATCTAGGCCGTTGATCATTCGGATCAACGACCACTATTTGCCCTACCATAATTAAATACAGGTGACTACCCTAATCCCTCATTCTCACCTGGCCCGCCGCCTTTGAATCCCAAACCCTCTCAAATCCTCTCAAAAACTTTCCGAAACCCTAGCCTCCTCCTACCCCCTTTTCAACCACCGGTCACCGGAATCCATGGCTTCTCAAGCCATGGATAGTTGGTACTCACCTATCTTCACCAGTAAGCTAGAGTTGTTCGAAGCTTCGAGGCCTAATCTCGACGATTCCCTCTCCGATCTTCTTAGACCTTTTATTTCATGGCTCCTCCGGCCATGCTCCGGCATATTCAAGACTCATAAGCCTGATTCTTGACCTCTCCGACTCAAGATCGGACCTGTTTCCAAGCCTTTCTCATTTCTAGGGTTTTTCTGAAACCCTAAGCTACTCAAGGTCCTTTCATCGTTATTTGCTTAGATCTATACTGTATCTATGCTTTTCTTGCCATCTAAAGTGTTTTCACCAAAAGTTTCTTTTCAAAATCGTTTCTCTTCGATTTTAGGGTTTCTGAAAGGATTTTTTGGGAAAAATCTTTCTGATTTTTCTTCTTCTTTACTTTATGTGTGTTTGTCCATACCCTGCTGGTGTGATTACTCTTTATTACGCATGTACTGTCTTCTACCTTTTCTTTTCTGCTATGCATGTTAATCCCTGCTTAGTTTTCTTTACTCTTTTACTATGTGTGTTTACCGTTAAGTTATTTGATCTTGTTTACTGGACTCTGTTCATGTTCTTACATGCTTCATCTACTTGTGTTCACGTTTGTATTATCTCCTTCTTCTGAACTTGTTTAGCTTCCGAGTTTTCTCAAATATGTTCTTCATGATTTTTCTTCCTTTGTCATTCAAACATGCTATCATATCTGTTTTGTTGAGACTCTAAAACAAATGACTTGCTTTCTCACTTCCATGTCTGATTCAATTTTGAAACCCTAGGATTTGGGTGGTTTCCTTTGACGATTTTGATTTTTGTGTTCGAGTTAAGGCTTCACTTTGAGACCCTGAACTCTCAGACTCACTATGAGTTTGCAAATTGAACCTGTATCTTTTTGCTTATGATTCTGATCTTCTCTTCGATTAAACTCTCTTCTAAATAATTTGACAGCCTCTTCTTGATTCACATATTTGTGTGCTTTATATATGAGAACTCTTCTTTCAAAAGGTTTTGCCAACTACTAATCGATTCTGAATTCCTTTAATGGTGTTTACTTGATTGTTACTAATTTTCCATAATTGAACCTTTCTTTACCCTTTTTCTGACTTGGTTCATTCGAACAAAGCTTGCAGCTTTGATTTTAATGGTTGTTTGATTGATTCCCTTTCCTTATTTTTCACAAACCATGTACCATTGGACTTTTGCCTTAAATAAACCCTGTGTATTTACCTTTATTATGTAACTTTGGAAAAGGTTTTAATCAAATTCTTTCCTTAATTGTCTTATGCACGTTCGAAATCAGAATCCCTTAACCAAATTGAGACTTTATGTGATTGATTGCAAACTATTTCCTTACCTTTTCTTACTTGTTTTCTGCACTATAAAAGGGGACTACCCTTCTTCACTTGAACACACTTTGAATTGCATACCCTTACACACACACTCTCTCAATTACAATACTCTTTCAATTCTCTACTCTCTTCTGAGATCTTTTGTACTGCTTGCTTGCAATTTGGCTTACAAAACTTCTGCTTTCACTTATTTGTTTCCCTGAAACTGGTATGTCCGAAATTTGATTCCAGCATCATCCCTATGTGTTTACTTTACAGTTGCTACTCTCTTGGCTACTTTCCTGTTCATGTTCTGTATTGAATATGCTACTCTCTCTTTGCATCTGCTGTTTGTTGTGAATTCCCCATACCCCTACTCCCTTCTATGTGTTTGAGTTAAGGTTTATGGCCTGGCAGTATCCAAATTGCTGCTCAGCTCTAAACCTGATCCTCAATGAATCTTAACTCCCAAAATGTGGCCTAGTAGACTGGTTAGGGTGTGCCAACACTCCTTATTGTTGGGTATGACCACCAGTTTACGCTGGACTTCCCCTAATTCCCCTCTATTTCACTTGCACTTACTCCTAGCCTCTAAGTTCTGCACCCCTCCTATGAGCCTTGCCTTGGGACTTTAAGTTCCCTCTGAGCTTGGACATTTGAGGGCTGGCCCTTCCACACTACACTATAATCTGATTCTGCAATGATATTTGGGGGTGTAAGCATTGCCTGGAGTTCTTGAAGCTCCTTGGAACTTTGACACATCCCAAATAAGAGAAAGGCTTTGGAAATCTGATCTTTGGAAGTTGGTTTATTTCATATTTCAGACCTGGGGTCTGAATTAGGCTCTCCTTGGTTGGAATCTTTAATTTCTGATATATTTCTTATCTTTTTCTTATTCATTATAGTTTGTAATAATCTTGTAATAAACTGCTGGGGTGTTAGTGAAAAGGGGAGGGTCAGTCCTGCATGCAAAGGGGTAGATACCATGTTCATAGGGAATTACTATACTTCTGAAATTCTGCATCTCATGTAGATACCATGTTCATAGGGAATTCCTATACTTCTGAAATTCTGCATCTTATGTAGATACCATGTTCAAAAGGAATTCCTATACTTCTGAAATTCTGCATTTCATGTACATAGGTTTTTCTGCACTTCATATAGATACCATGTCTATAAGTCATTTTTGAAATTCTGCATATCATATAAGTAATATGCCTATAGGACTTCCTGCATTTTGCATATGCATCTGTCACTAGGCAAACCTGTTTGTAAGATTTAAATAACTAACTGCATATAAATGACCTACCTATAGGATTTCTGCATGACAATAACAACGCTTAAAATCAGTAACGCCTAGAAAACATACCTATAGGAGCTATCAACCAAACCTGAATCGTCAACTCGCTTATAAGCCTAAAATCAGTAGCAATAATGATTAACGCCTGTAGATCTTATGTCCCTATAATTGACAATTTTTTTTTTCTGCAATCAGTTTACTTCTTTATTTCTGAAACTAATAGATATCATGCCTATAGGTTCCGTTTAACACCTAGGCAAGCTTTAGAGTATAAACTATAATTGCATCAGTCTTTGATAATTACAACCAGCAGGCAGGCCTAATTCGGACTTCTTATCTGAAAATATGTGATAAATCAGCCTGCCTTAATGTTTAAGTTTAATTCAGACCTAATCAGTACGTGTAAGACATGCTAAACTATATGATTTTCTCTGATTTAAGGAGGTTTATTTGAGCCATATCTGCTTACTTACTTTCCCAATACTTGCTGTATATGTTTTGAATGTCGCCTTAGAATTGTATCCTTTTTAAAAAAAACTGCAAAAGCCCCAACTCCCTCCCCTTTATGATTAGTAGTCTCATATGCCTCTCGGACTGATAGGATTGGGATGGGTAATAGCATGCAATAAGTAACGATACTATTCCGCGCTTTAATACTTTAACGGGGTGGAAGGGTAGATATGGAGATGATGACCGATGCGCTAATATCACGTGCGACCCCTCTTTTTTAAGGAGTGATTGCTGGGTATTGCATTGAAGTGATCCATATTAATCGTAAACCTAGGACCCCCCCTCCCTTTATTTGCTTTCATCTCTTCTCGTGAAACCATTCAAATCTTTTTTTCATAAATTTCTGTCCTCTCTACTTACCTTCAAAAGTTTTCAACCTAATTGCAATGTTGTATGCAAGTCCTTATTTGAGCCTTGATTGTTTACTTGTAAAGTCACAATTGTAACATGGCCGGGACCACACTAGTGGATCTTGAGGGGTGCCTAACACCTTCCCCTCGAGATAATTTCTAGCCCTTACCCGAACTCTGGTTTTTTCCAACTCAAACCTTTCTTAAAGTGTCGTAATGCACTATAATCATTAGGTGACGACTCTTCAAAATTCCAAAACCCAATTCTCGAAAGGGAATAGAGTTGTCCTCCCAATGTCGTATACCCGATTTCGACGCGTAGAAAAAGGGGGCGTCGACAATTGTTATTCGACATAATTGATGTAACAAGGAAGGTCAAGTGAAAAGAAAATAGATTATCAAATTCCCGATAACGGAACCAATTTGTTTAACCAAAAAATAGAATTTCAGTCAAAGTTAGAATTTAGAAGAACGCGGGTTACTGATAATCAAAAGAATATGTAGAAGAAAGTAATTTAGAGTAACCAGAGTGTAATCAGGAGAAAAACAAGTGAATCAAAGTATATTCCCATTGTGTCTTGTCTTTACAAGTGACCAGATACCTCCCTTTTACCGGTATCTTGAAGATATGCATTTCCTCCAAATCATAATAAAGCTATTATGAATAATTAAAGACATTGAATGTTACTTTACATAATCATTGTAATCAATACAAATTCTCTAACATATCCAGTATTTAGTGCCTGTCGAATTCCGTATCTGCGCTCTTTATTATGGTCAGATCCATTCCTTTTGATAAATGATTTAAATAGGTACGGGCGCTGAATCCGTCAAATGTCCTCCAGTGCCTCTTCCTTTGCCTTTGCTCGTTTCTACTGCTGCCTGTGCCTCTTGACTAATTATAATTCTTTGACTATTTGACTAGTCCACGTGTCTCAACATATCACTTGCATATATACATACAATTTTTCCCAATACATTTACCTCTTCAATCAGCTCTTTGAGAGCCATGACCATAGGCTCCAACAAGTAGCAAGAAGCTTTGCTAAAGCGATCCTCATTATTTCTGCCCATCATAGTCAGTACCATACGCCCACCTTTCACCAATTCTATTGAGCGATGCTTTAGAAAATTTACAAAATCTTTTTCATATTGCTCGTAATACGCTTTAACCACATCTAGTGGGCTTGCACTTGCCACGTAAATATTTCGCTTGTTATTTTCTATTCCATAGGCACCTATTAGAGTCAAAGTTATAATCATACGATTTAGAATGAGTATGATTTAATTATTCATCATACATTATAATTTGTTTGTGTTTATATATAATAAATATAAATATATGCGAAGAGTTAAGTTGAACTTACGGAACATACCCTAAATTCGCATCTGACTACCACCTATACAATTGATTTTAAATATTAATTTAAAAGAGAAACAATTATTTTTTTAGATTTTTTTTTTAAAGAGAAACAAACATTGGATATATTAAATTTGCAATTTCGTTTCTTCGAGTTTGCTGGCAAAATTATTACCCCTATATATTAGCTGCAAAATTGCATCATAAAATTCTATTATACGTGAGTAAATTTGTAAATTTGATATGGTGTTATCAAGTTTAAGAAAATCTTTATATGAGATTGATGATATAAAAGTGTTAAAGACAACATGGTAAATAAATTTTTAACAACGTATTTTTCTTAACGGTTTAAATTTGTAAATGAGATGCTGATCACACATCTCAACATGACATTAGAGCAGGTGACAGAGGTTTAGGTTTGAGTCTCATCGCCTTCCACCATCGTTTTTTTTTTTTTTTTACATTCTTTGTCATAAAAAAGAATCAAATTTGCACGTAAAGGAGGTGTGAAAGTCATAATTAAGTATCTCTGACTGCTTAAACTTTAGATGAAATCAAGGATTAAAACATATTTGAGAAAGCCAATGGAGGCTGTAAGAGGAGTGGACAAAATGCAAACTCTTGGAAGGGAAAAGTCTAGTATAGAATGAACCAGCAACTCCTACAACAAAGCAATCAGGATCAAATATTTCATCTTCTCCCATATTTTTCTCCCTCAAATCATCGTAGAATGCCGGTAGCAACGACCGGAAAATGGTATTAAAATCATTCCCAGGAAGATCATTCAAGGAAACATGAAATTCCGGAGACTGTTGCTGTTGACCGTTGCTTTTGCATTCTTCGCTAATAGCTCTAATAAGTTGGGTGATGACCAATAAAGTATTAGGTCCCGAGGAACAACCTAAGTCCGCAACATAAATGGTTTCTGGGGAAAGGCTGCGGTAGAGTGCAGATATGGCTTCATCTCGTATTGGCTTTCCCATGAGAATCACCTTTTGCTGTACATATAAGGAAATGAGTTTACTTTTTTATGAACTGACAATATTAAAGAATTGAGATGTGTATTTTCTACGGAATACGTGCTCCCCAGAATTGTTTCTGACGCTTATATGTGTAGTATTTCCATAGTACAAGAGGTGTAGGCACAGGCGGACGTATGTGTAAGCTTGAGCCTTGAGAGACCACCGAATTCCGTAAACATTGGTAGAAATCTTGTATATTTATATGTGTATACCTTAAAAATAATTAATTTAAATTACTTGGTGTCCTTAACACTAAAAGCCTTTAGGGGCACCAGTTGAGCAGAATACTGGTGCCCCATCGCGTTAAAATCCTAGATTCGCCTCTTGTTTCAGTGTTTTAAAAGGTGAGGGTGTAAGGCGGGGTTTTACTTACCATGGTGCGAGGCGTAAGCCCCATGAATCTTTCAATTTTTTAATTTTAAAAATAATAAAATAGCAAAATAATTACAAAAAAATATATAATACATTTAAAGTTTAAGAAAACTATAAGGGATTAAAAACTCATAAAAATAAAATATCTAGCATTTTTTATAAACATAAATAATAAAATAGTGTTAAAGTTACAATGATATAAAAATAAACTAATTTTTTTTATCTTTCAAACGATTATTTTTTTTAATATTTTTAAAAATAATATCAAACTAGAAATTTTACATCTCTAACAGTTAATAATTATCAAATATCATCAAATTGTAATTTAAAATATTACTCCTTATGACTAAATATAAAATTGCGTGTAAAGAGCAAAATAATAAAAGTTTGATAATTCTGAGAGACATAGCTACGAAGATTTATATCAAGTTAAGACGTAAATTTTGAATTTTCAAATGATACTCACCCTCACGATATTCTCAATTAGTAAATATATAATACTATGACTCATTATTTTGAATTACTCTCAATCTTCATATTCTTATAGATGAATAGAACTTTAAGCATTCATTTGTTAAAGAATTTTGAGGGACAACAATACTAATTAGGTAATTAAATGCATAATTTGCAAAAGGAACTGTTAGGCGATCTCTAGCATAGAGCGTTAGGCGTATTTCGGGCGCATAGTCGGGTGCTTGATCGTAAGCCTCACAAAACTAAGCCCCACATGTGAGTCTTGGGGGGTGTTTTGATAGTGCCCCGCATTGGAACAAGACCCGAGACAAGTTCCAATAAAGCCTTTTAAAATATTGTCTGTTGTAAGTGTTTGATTTTAAAATACATTATGTATAATTATTCGTGCTAGTTTATAACTCCATTAGGAAATAATAAAAATCTGCGTAATGATATACACATGGTTGTCCAACGGGATGAGACGGGACCGAATTAACGGGACGGGACGAGACGACATTTAAGCGGGATGGTGGCGGGATAGGACGAAACGGGATGGGACAAACGGGACGAAATGTTTGTCCCATCCTGTCCCGCTAACAAACGGGATGGGACGGGACGGAACAGGACGGGACGGGTTCGTGGGCCTTAAGTGTATTTTTTTAAAAAAAATAACGTCTAGTTTTTTGAAAATTACTATGTTTTTAAAGTTTGCAACGGCTAAATTTTTGACTTATTTAATAAACTTAAATGTTATTATGTTAAAAGAAAAATTAGAAAACTAAGTAAAGAATTATAAAATATTAAAACAAAAGACTTGTAATGAAATATTCTAGTAATTATAAATTTATAATAGAGTTATAATTTATTTAATATAATTTCAAATTATTAACTATTAATTAACTAAGACAATTCATAAATAAAATTCAACGCTTAGAGCCTTTTATTTTATTAATAGAACTTTCAAATCTCAAATACAAATATAATTCTTTTGAAGAGCACCTAATTTACGCAGCCACCTTCTAGGAAGGGTTCTGTTTGAACTAGGCCTCTTAGTAGCCAATTACAAATAGTCATACTAGTATTTGTAAGCTCTTATATAGCTTCTTTGTAACTTATCAATAATATCTCTCGGACATTCTGCTGGAATTGGCAATGTTGATTGATGTTCCATGAGCTCCATGCCGTCATCGCTCCCAGTGGTTAGTATCTTATTGTATTCTTCTTCTTCCCTAGTGGTTAATTTTTCAGAACCAAGATTTCTTCTTTCTGAATTAATCCAATCTCTGAATAATACAGAAATCGCTAGACTGTCCTCCGCTAATGAATGTCTATGATCTACAATTTGAAATCTTGTCGCGCTAAAAGCACTCTCCGATGCTACTGATGATGCTTGAATAGCCAGGATATCTCGGGCCATAATTGAAAGTGTTGGAAAAGCCTTGTCATGCTCCCTCCACCATGACAATAGTTGTTCCTTGCCTTCTTCGTCTTTAATAGTTTCCAATCCTTGATTAAGATAAGAATCAAGTTCATCATCAATAGAGGAATCAAAACCTGTTATATCATCCACATCTTCCCATAAAACTTTGCTCTAAACTTAGAAGTAGAAGGAGCAGTAGGATAATATATACCAGAAAATTATTTTGTAGCATAATAAAATTTTTCTAAAAATTTAGTAAGCTCTCTGATCTCTCCTAATCAGAATCAATATTTGATCAACAGGGTGAGCATTATGCATATTAAATACCTTTTGGATAGGCACCCGATAATCATAAGCAACTTTAAGCATTTCATAAGTAGAATTCCACCTAGTACAAACATCTTTTGGAACTTTTCTAAATGGAAGGTTAGCACTAACACATTGTTGAGCAAATTTACGAATTATACTTTGTTTATGAGCACAAAAAATATAGCAACAAGCATGTTATATTTTACTACAAGCATCAGAGAATAAATTAAGACCATCTTTTACAACCAAGTTAAAAATATGGCATGCACATATAACATGAAAAATTGTTGGATTAATTTGACAAAGTCTAGATTTTAAGCTATTTGCTGCGGTTGTGTTAGCAGAAGCATTATCTAAGGTGATAATTAAAACTTTATTAATGAGTCCATAAAAATCAAGTATTTGTAGAACAGCAGTTGCAACATATGCTCCAGTGTATTTTGAATCAACAAAATTATAACCAATAATACGTTTTTGCAAGTTCCAGTGTTGATCAACCCAATGACATGTAACAATTAAATAATCACATCCACTAGGACTACGACCTATATCAGATGTGATAGACACTTTACAATCTAAGTGAAAAAATACACAACGGATATACTGAAGATATTCGGTTTGAAATTTAAAAACATCATTTCTAACCGTGGTCTTAGAAAAACCTTGAAAAGCAGGGTTATAAGTTTCTTGTATATAATGCACAAAAGCAGGGTGAGAAGGGAAAGTAAAAGGTAAGCCACAGACAGCCACCATTTTTGCTAAGTTCTCACGATCTCTATCTTTGTTATATTTGCGTAAAACATGACCAGAAGCAGGGTCAAGTTGTTGTTGAATTTGATTAGAACCAGATCTACTAGGAGTGTCAGTACTGATGGTAGGATCTATAATTTTTCCGGTTTCTATGTTAGCTTGTATCCATAAAGATTTGTGATCCCTTATTAAGTGTCTACTTAAACCCCCCGTCCCACCACTTATTGTGTGTGCAAATACTTGCTTACATTTTTCACACATAGCACGATGATTGACTTTATCATGTTTAAAAAAATTTCATACAAGTGATGTTTTGGGACGTTCAGCCTTAGGCTTACCCCTTACAGGAGATACAGGGGGTAAAGCTCCAGACTGAGATTGACTCTGAGTTGGAGCTTGTGTTGCGGGACTAGTGGGTGTTTCATCTAATTCTTCTTCCTCATTTTCTTCATCCTCAAAAAAAATATCATTGCCAAATTGTCTTTGTAAAGTTTCATGATCTAATTGTTCTCCGACATGAACATCATAAAATGTGGGGGGTTGGGAAAATGAAGTTTCATCAATATGAGTCATTTCATCAATATGCTTTCTAATTCTAGGTCTAGGAGAAGGGTTAGGATTAGGATTACTACTACTTTCACCTTTACTATTTTCTTACTACTTTTTTTAAAAATACCAAATACATTTTTAGGTGTCATAATTTAAATACGAAATTAAATTTAAAAAGCTAACACAAATATTAAACACAGAAAATATAACACGTCAAGTAAACACAAAAATTAAGCACTAAAATGATACGCAAAAATTATATATTAAAATTAGGAGATGGAACGAGTGCACCGTGATTAAATATTGAAACTTGAAGAAATTGCCCAAAATATTGCTCCAAATACTTGACGAATTAATTTGAAGCTTGAAAGTTGCTCCAAAAAATTTGGCCAAATACTTGAAAGTTATCACTTGATACTTGATAGCAACAATATTGAGAGAATGATATAGAATATAGATAGAATATTAGAATGTAAGAGATTTGAGAGAGAAGATTATTTTTTTGTGGGAAAAAATAAAGAAGAATGAGAGTATTTATAGTAGAAAATAGGGTNTATGAAATTAAATTAAAAAAGCTAACACAAATATTAAACACACAAATGAAATACGAAAATATAACACGTAAAGTAAACACAAAAAATTAAACACTAAAATGATACGCAAAAATTATATATTAAAATTAGGAGATGGAACGAGTGCACCGTGATTAAATATTGAAATTTGAAGAAATTGCCCAAAATATTGCTCCAAATACTTGACGAATTAATTTAAAGCTTGAAAGTTGCTCCAAAAAATTTGCCCAAATACTTGAAAGTTGAAACTTGAAAGGTATCACTTGATACCTGATAGTTGATACTTGATAGTAACAAAATTGAGAGAATAATATAGAATATGGATAGAATATTAGAATATACGAGATTTGAGAGAGAAGATTGATTTTTGTGGGAAACAAATGAAGAAGAATAGGGGGGAGGGGGGTATTTATAGTAGAAAATAGGGCCAAAGTGTAATTTAATAAACTTAGGGGTTATATTAAAAGTTTTGGGGGGAGGGTGTTTTGGGGGGTGTAGGGGCTGTTTGGACCGTTGACAACGGCTATTTTTGCAATTTAAGCCGTTTCCCAACGGCTAGTTTTTTTAAAAAAAAATCTGGCGGGACGGGACGGGACAAACGCGACGAAATGGCCGTCCCGTCCCATCCCGTATCCCGTTTAACATTTGCCCATCCCATTTAACTTGAAGCGGGACGGGACGGGACTGGGACGGGACGACCCGTCCCGTTGGACAGCCATAGATATACCTGAAGCAGAGAATTATTTGCATAGCTAGTCTCTCCAATTCCTCCATTCATGCGAAGAACTTTTGCAACTTCCATTGTCTCTGTAGAAGTTGGGTACTGTTTTTGGATTAATGGGAATGCTCTAATGGGGTATTATATCATTTATTTATAGACGGCTGGTACCGAATTTATTCTTTGAATTTCCAACATTACCCCTCACAAGCTAAACTAAATGCTAATGAGAAAGTATTATTATGTATTGAATCATTTGATCACCTTATTTAAAAGCTTAAACTATTAGGAGAGAAAATATTTTTAATAGTTTTATTGTAAGTGACACCAATTGAACTAATTAGCTAACAACCTAAAAAAATAGATTAGGTAACTAACTGTATACACCTAATTTATTTAGACCTAATTCTTTGGGGGAGTTAAGTTGAAAATTCCCCCCAAGACAACTATACTTGACTATATTATTGTTTAATTGAAGCTCAATTAAGACATTTACTTTAAAAGCTGCACATAAAGTGGTCCTAACTAGCCAGCAACTAAATATAAATGAATCAATTTATTGCTCGGAACTGGACAAGTCATTACTAGAATATGGCTAAATTTTGACCGCTAACTTGGTCGGAAATCGATCGGAAATAATGGATTTCCGACCACTTTTCAATCAAAATTTGTCGGAAAATAATTTCCGACCGAATTCGTCGGTGATTTTCGACCAAAGTAGTTGGAACGTTCAAAAGGTCAGATGACCAAATTATTTTTAAATTTGCGACCAAAGTGGTCGGAATATTACCGACCGAATCAGTCATAATAATTTATATAAAAATAAATATTTATTTAAAATTAAATAATAAAAATAAATATTTACCGACTGATTCGGTCAGAAACTAATAATTAAAAAATAAAATTTCTTTATTTTCTGAAGGAATCCGTCGAAAACTGTTAAAAATAATTAAATTGTTTGTCACGATCCAAAATTAACTATAGGTCGTGATGGCGCCCAACGTTGCCGTTAGGCAAGTCAACACTAAATTATTCATTTCTAATATACCTCGGCAGAACGTCACCTCAATCGGCTCTCCACCTCGGTATACTCCATCACTGTTCCTACTTCTGAACTACACGTGACCTGATTCTTTTATAGCCAAGGATATATAGGCAGCTCAGATACCAGAGCTCGGTCACATTCTCCTTTCATTTAGTTTTCGGTCTCTCTAAATAAGGGTCGGGTCAAAAAACCTGTCTCGTCGTTCTTTGTCTGAAAGCTCTTCATGTTTCTAGTCAAAGAGGGGCAGCCGTAGACATGTAATTTTTTGACCCTCCCCAAGATTTTACACATTTTAGTGTTAAATATTTAGTTTAGGTCTAATATTGCTACTTCAATTAATTTTGACTCTTTTACTTTATTTTATCACAAAAATAAAATTACAAAAATATTTTCTTTTATTTAGCTAATTAATATTTTATTTAGTTACTTTTAGTTTATCTATCTTTCATAAAATTTAAAAAACAAAAAACAAAAAACAAAAATAGTTTCAATTTATTTTCAGGAATATTAGCTGTTTGGTAAGAATATTATTTGAATTTTACAATGATTTTAATCTAATTCCATTTTTATCTTTTAGTATGATATTTGAAAAATACCAAAAAATTGGTTTGTTTTAAAGGTTAGTTTTATTTGGGGCATTTTGCATTGATACCTGCTTTTTGGGTCACGTTTTAACTTGTACTCGCTTTGCAAAAAAATTGCAAGCGTACCCACTTTTTCGCATAACTTCAGCATACAGGACTGATGTAGCAAAGGCAATCACGAAAAATTTTAGCATTATAGTAGACGGGCCTGAACAACAAAAAATTTTGAACCAAGTGAGTTGAAGTTTTTGTATGTAATTACTGAACTTAAGCATTCTAGTAGCTGAAGTTTTGTTTTCTATTTGCTGAAATTTTTGTTTGTAATTGCTGAACTTAAGCATTCTAGTAGCTGAAGTTTTGTTCTCTATTTGCTGAAGTTTTTGTTTGTAATTGCTGAACTTCAGCATGTTTTAGCTGAAGTTTTTCACGTAAACTTAGTGTTGACTGAAGTTTTTGTTTGTAATTGCTGAACTTAATCATTTTACTAGCTGAAGTTTTGTTCTCTATTTGTTGAACTTCAGCATGTTTTAGCTGAAGTTTTGTTCTATATTTGCTAAACTTAGCATATTTTAGCTTAACTTTGTTATGTTTGTGATGAATTTCAGGACTGAAGTTTATTTTGTATTTGCTAAACTAATGTTTATATTTGTTGAACTAAGATCAACGACCTTTCCAAGCTGATCAAATCCATCCAACTGATTAAGAAACTCTCAGCAGATCTGCAACCACATTTGATGTAGTTGTTAGCAGTTATAGTATAAGAAGCATTTGCTGATGAACACGCTACAGAGGACATAATCTTAGTGGCAGAAGAACAAAATAGATATAAGGTTGAAATTTACTTTACAAAATATCTTAATTTTAACATCTATTATACTTGGTGATCACGAGAAGAAGAAGAGGAAAAGAAGGGAGGAAGAAAGGAGCGCAAAGAAGGAGACGCCTGAAGTTGTAAAAATTAGGGTATAGGTTAAATAATTTTAAAAATATGAGTATAAGTTAAATGGGGGCGACCAAATAGGGTGCCCTGTGCAATTTTTACGTTTTATTTTAATAATTATTTTACTTAGTAGGATTAATTAGTAAATGAGGTAGTATTTTTAGTCTTGTTCAAAGAGAAATAATAAAATTTGGACTCAAACAACGCATTTTTAGGCCTAATTTTTGGACCCTTAGCCCATAAATTCAAGTCCAATACCCCAAAAAACCCTAATAATTCTTTAACCCCCCCTCCCCCCGCCGTTTCCTTTCTTGGACGACACACCCCTTCAGCATTTCTAACCCTAGAGAACCCAACACCCTTAAACACCCCATTCCAGCCTTCAACACCCTGAGCTTCTTCATCTTCTTCACCTAGGAGACATACCAACAGACCCGCCACCAGCCTTACCAACGCCCTGATCTCTCTCTCTCGTGGCTGTCACTACTGACGTCGATCGGCGACCATACACAACACAACCACCAAAACAGCGTCGGATTTTCCTCCAACCTCCATTGCAACCGGCTGTAAAACCAGCTCTAAGAACATGAAAACAGTAGCTCAAACCGCAGCTTGTCGCCGTGGAAATAGCAGCGTGTGTGTGCGCTTTTCTGATTCTCGCCGGACTTTCAGATCCGGCATGTTTTTTTAACTTTCCGACGAGTTTCGAGGTTGTCCGGGTGAGGTATTGTCCGAGGTTCCGTTCGAAGTTCCAATCACTAGCTCGCTTGAGTGTCGCTGCACGCTCATTTGTATACGTAGCAAACTCGGCAATAAAGGTTAATAGTTCTTCATTCTCCTTTACTGTATTTAGCTCACTTTGTTACTTTTTTGTGTTACTCTATTTATTCTTTGAATTATAGAATGATAAAGTTAATTGGGTCATATTAATTGTTGATGAGTTACGTTGTTTCATATGTGTGGTAGGTAGCTAGATCTTAATGGGTTCATGTTTTTGTTTCATTAATATGTTATCGTTCTCGTTGGAATTGGAAAATGTTATGGTAGAGCTAAGTTCAGTTGTTTCTTGTTAGATATTTCTTTAGTATTAATGGGTTTGAGATTACCTGTTAGATGAAATCGTTTCAATAAAGTGAGCACTCTGTTAATCCGTCAATCTGACCTGTAATTTTAATTTCATATGTATGTGTGCCTGTGCGCGGTGACAAAGTTATATTTTTCATATGTAATTCTAATTTCATATGTACATGTTCGCGTGACATAGTTGCGATTCTTTTTTAAAATTAAAATCAAGGTATGCGTTCGCGCAACCTTATAAGGCGAAACGGTCTTAATAATAAAAATATTTTTAATTGTGTACACGTTCGCGTGACAAGAGTGCGTTTTTTTTAAAATGAATATTCGTAGGAAAATACTTTAGGCGAGGTTTAATCTATCGTCGTGATTGTGTGCATGTTCGCGTGACATAATTATGATCTTTTTCAAAATAATCTAAGGTACACGTTCGCGTGACTTTGGCCAAATAATCTTAGTAATAATAAAGCATGAGCAATTGTGGACACGTACGCACGACATGATTTTTGATGCGCCAAACGAATAGTACATGTATGTGTGACTCGTTTTAAGAAAATTCCAAATTTACGATTAATCAAGCAATTAAAAGCGGTTAAGGGGGTAGATGCACATAGGTTTAAAAAATAAGTAACTAGAAAATTTATTAAGCTAGGTATGATTAAAGTGACTGTGCTAAAACTACAGAACTCGAGAATGCCTAACACCTTCTCCCGGATTAACAAAATTTCTTACCCGAATTTCTGTGTTTGCAGACCATAAATAAAGTCAAACTTTCTCGATTCGAGATTTTAAACCGGTGACTTGGGATGCCATAAATTAACCTAAGTGGCGACTCTGAATTTGATATAAATAATCCCGTTTCGGTTATTGTCACTTTAATTGGGAAAAACTCCCTTATATCCCTTTCGGGGTAGAAAAAGGAGGTGTGACACCCGATTCAGAGCATGTTGCCCTTTTTAAACAAGCAAGCGGCACCCACTGCATTTATCACTACTTGGTCTTCCTCGGTCACCAATCATCTGAGGTAGCTAGTGATCCCCATGGGGGGAGAAAAGACCCGGGCATCCTCCGGTACAGAAAACATTATATTCCGCCTACAGTCGGGATTAATACTTGGGGCCGAGAATCGGTCCACCAGTATTGGGCTCAAAGAAGACCCAGTAGCAGCTGAGGACAGTGCTTTCTTCGGCACAGGTAAGTCACTAAGCCCGGTGACGACCTCCAAAGCATCAAACTCAACCCTATCCAAGAAGCCATGGATATCGGCCGCCTCCTGAGTACCCTCGCAAGAGCGACCTTCCAAAATATTGGCCTCTCGAAGCGTGGCATCCGAAATTTGAGGGGACTCGAAAATATAAATCACACCGAGCTCGTCCTTCAGAACGTCTTCCGCCACTCGGGAAGCCTCTCCCCCGGTCTCTCTCTCGACCATCTCAACCTAGCATGGAGTGGCCTCAACTCTTTCTGGC